GATCGGTTCGTATTTTCTCCCGCCACGGCTCAATGGCGAAATTTACGCGGCCTTCATAGAGAATCAACTCCCAGTGCTACTCGAAGATGTCCCTCTCCACGCACGGGCAGAGTTGATTTTCCAGCAAGATGGAGCTCCTGCGCATTTTAGCCAGCGAGTACGTAATTTTTTAGACGCGCGTTTTCCGGAAAGGTGGATGGGTCGAGGTGGCCCAATTATCTGGCCGGCACGGTCGCCTGATCTTAACGTGCTCGATTATTTCTTATAGGGCTACGTTAAAGATTTGATCGGACATCGGCGTGATGGTACAGAGAATGAAGTACGTGAAGCTATTGTTGCGGCCTTCAATACCATCATGCCGGAAATGGCACATCGTGCGACGCGCAATATTGTACGAAGAGCCGAACTTTGTATACGGGAGGGAGGACGGCACTTCGAACAATTGTTACATTAATTTGTAACAGTGGATTAGGCCTACTGGGGACACCACTTAAAAAAAAACGCGCCATGCTATCTACCGCATTCACAGCTTCAACGGACTCAAATCTTGTTCCTTTTAAGGCAGATTTTACCTTAGAAAACAGATAGAAGTATCACGGCGCAAGATCTGGCGAATAAGGCGGATGATCTAACACTGGGATGCTGAACTTGGCTAGAAACCTCTTGACAGACAATGCGGAATGAGCTGGCGCATTGTTTTGGTGGAGAACCCATGACTTGTCCTTCCACAATTCGGGTCGTTATCAATTCGTACAGTTTCAGCAATCGCACGAATACTTAACCGACGGTCAGATCGAATCAGATTACCGATTTTTTTCAATATTGTCATCCGTTTTTGACGTGGAAGGGCGACTCGGGCGTGAATCATCTTGAACGTCTTCTCGGCCATCTTGAAAACGCTTAAACCACTCAAAAACACGTGCGCGCGATAAACTTTCATTGCCATACACTTCTTTCAATAAATTATATGTTTCAGTAGCAGTTTTTCAAGTTTCATGTGAAATTTCACAACAATTCGTTGCTCTACTATTACACTTAACATTTTTCCGGCGAAACAAAAAAACAACTCTAATGCGAATGAAGGCTACGGCTATACTGATTTGTTTACAGAAGCGAGAGGCACTGCATTCGAAAGAGAAGGCTTCACGATAACAGCTGTGGCTTGCTGGCGTTTGGCGCATGCGCACTTCTTCTGTAGCAGCATCAGTCTCGTTATTTAATAGCCACACCTCGTACATAATTTTGTTGATGAGTGTATTTTATGTATAAAAAAACATTCCATTTAATGTAACAATTAGTTAAATAATAAAAGTACGCATACGTGAGAAGCAACACGCGAGCGTCGAGATATAGTAAAAAGGCCTAGGCATGATTCTCGCCGCTTGCAGTATTAGCTATAACTATAGGTCGGGAGAGAGACGGCAGCTTGTACGTCTTCACTCTTCCACCGCCCGAGCCTGACCGAAGCGCTAAGCGCTATAGTTCGTGACAGGCAGCCCATACGTACACAGTTCTTCGCTTGTGTGCGCTACGTCGCACGCACTATAGTTACGCGTACTTGGTTCCACATATGGCAACTTTGTGTCAATCGGCGGGGGGGCCCGGCGCGAGAACAGGAGGCGCCTGGTTGAGAGGGGCAGATGCGCCACAAGGCGCAAAACCTTCCCTGCGACAAGAAGTCAGACCAGGCGCCTCCGGGAGGGAGGTATAGTGGCCGGTCTGCGAGGGTGGATTTTTAGGCCGCTCATCCCCCTCCCCGAGAGTGGAGGCTCCTGACCGAGAGGACTGGAGGGAGATCCCTCCACCCCGTAACCTCGGTCAGGAGCGTAGGGGCGCGCCGGGTCCGGACGGGACCGTACCTGGCCTAAAAGGCCCCTAACTAGAGAGATATGACCGAACGGGGGGCCCATGTCCGATTATGGAGGATTGGTGGAGCGGGCCGGGGGGATTTCGGTTTCAATCGATAAGATTATTGGTTTCAATAATTTTTTACTTGAATTCTATCAACTTTACCGAAAAATATCAAGATAAAAATTGCTTATTTTGTTCTCATAGAATTTGTTCTGAGAATTTTTTCAGAATTTTATATTAACTTTTTAGTACTTCATTTTCTTACATTTTCTTGAAGTACTAAAAAGTTAATATAAAATTCTGAAAAAATTCTCAGAACAAATTCTATGAGAACAAAATAAGCAATTTTTATCTTGATATTTTTCGGTAAAGTTGATAGAATTCAAGTAAAAAATTATTGAAACCAATAATTTTGTAGATATTTACGCAAATATCTTAGAAAATAAAGGTCGTATAAAAAATTTTTTCAAGCAAAAGTTGTTTGCGTTTTTACGATGATTAAAATAAAACATATGTGTTTCTATTTAATAAAACATATGTGTTTCTATTTAAAAAATTAAAGTTGACCTTGTTCTGACCTTGGCGACGCCATCCTATGTCAAATAACTACTATCGTTGAATGCGTTTTTTTAAGCCTTACAACTTTTGTCTGAAACATTTTTCTCTAAAATGCTCCCCCGTCGAGTTATCTTGCCGTTCCAGTACTTTTGCTATACCCTGCGCGCGCGCGCGCACACACACACACACACACACATACACACACAGCGTTGACATGCCTCCAAAAAGCGTTCAGCAGAACATCCAAATTTTGCAATGTATCACTAAACCGTTTACAAAGCGCTGAGTTCTGCTGAATGCAGCCAATGTTTCTGACATGTTGCTTCAACTTTGTGTGCTGTATGGGTTGCGATCCTTGTGATACACCACCACTAAAATGAAGAATATAAAAAAAATGGTAATTATTAAGTTTAGGCTCCTCACCTCCGATTTTGACGAAACTAGGCTCAATCGACGCGTTTTTTTAAAAAGAAACAACTTTTTCCTCTAACGAAATCGTCGCTCTCTACTACGAAGCGAGATATTAATAGACAAATCTGAGGGCGTGTTAGGTTAGAAAATCTGTCATACTATCTATCTCTAGCTAAGTAACTGGGGGGCTTCGCTTCCCAAACCCCCCTAACACGGGGGGTGGGGGTTATAGTCTCTTGTGCTTAAGGTTGCGTTCCGTTTCACGCATTATGCGCGCATTTCCTACAATATACGTGACATGAACTGTAGATAAACGCGCGCATATACGTGAAACGGAAGGCGGCTTAAGCTAAAGAGTGAATTTCTCACAAAAGACTATAATCCCCACCCTCCGTGTTAGGGGGGTCTGGGGGGCGAAGCCCCCCAGTTACATAGCTAGAGATAGACGGTATGACAGATTTTATAATTTTATTATTTATCCCCTTTTTCATTGGGTGTGTGTATGTTGCTAGTATAGTTAATAATTTATACTTAATATTTTATGACATGTATTCAAATGTAGCGCATGATCGTGTAAAAAATGTCGCTACATATGGTCGGAGTGACAGATTTCCTAACCTAATGAGCTGTTAACTTTAACGCTAAATATCTCGCTTCGCGGAAGAGAGCGACGATTTTGTTAGAGGAAAAAGTTATTTCTTTTTAAAAAAAACGCGTCGATTGAGCCTAATTTCGTCAAAATCGAAGGTGAGGAGCCTAAACTTAATAATTACCAAAAAAATATTCTTACACTCTTGTCATAATAAATATACTTTGTATAATTTAGTATTTAAATTATCATTATTCTAATAACAGGAAAATACTAAGAGCTTGTCAGACTTTACATAATGAATATGAACATATTGGCCCATATTTTGAGTTCTCTTTTAACGATAAAAGAGCCTCTAAAAGTGGCTTATAAACTTTCTGATTGGTTATGAGTCACTTTTAAAGGCTCATTTATCATTAAAAGAGAACTCAGAATATGGGCCATTGTGTTTCTTTAGTCATTTGTCTTTCTCATATTCATATTTAATATAACAAAAACTTCCCAAATCAAATCCAATATCGAGTTATAAGATGTCTTTAAGAAATCTATAAGACAATACCTTATAAACTTGTCTTAAACCTCTTGTCCACAACCTTGCTTTAATCTTTAAGCCGTAAGATATTGACCAACTACAATTGATTATTTTTAAAATAAAGATTAAAGCAAGGTTGTGAACAAGGAGTGAGATGTATTAAAGACGTCTTATGACCTGACTTTGGATATTATGTTGTCTGGGTTTTTTCCTATAAGCACATCCTATAAAAATATTTCTATAATCATTTAAAATTAAAACTTTTAGAATTCAGATATAACTTTAGTATGGTTGAATGCTTCTAGAGCTTACTTCTAAAATTAGAATTTATATTTTGCAACTGGAAAATTCTGTCATGAATTTTCCAGTTGCAAAATATAATATGTCAGTTAAGACAGTGTATCTTGATATATTTATGTATTTTGAATTTTACAATGAGTATTTAAGTTCAATTAAAGTAATTGTATAAAATAACAGTATGTGAAATGTTTATTCGTTTTCTTATAAAATATAATTATGGCAAGGGGAATTTTTAATAATAGCATGAGAAATTTATATTTACCAGCCAAAATTTATTAGTAGTATTTTTATGCAATTGGAATGTTTCAAACAGATTATAGTCTTATTTCACTGTTTCTTCTTGAGAAACATGTGTTTATCTACACAATATATATATATATATATATATATATATATATATATATATATATGTATATGATATATATGATGTATATGTATCCACATGATACTAAAAAATAGTTGGTTATACACCAACTTCAATCCGAAAAATACATGTTAGAGTATATATCATGTACCATTGATGTGATTCGTTTGGTGAATTTCCGAAAAGCAATAAAATCCAAACTGACTGACAATGATTCTTCTGTGTCGATCAAAGCTGCTGTTCACGCTATCGCAGTCTTCTTGCCTCGCGTTCGGATTCGAGCAAGGTTAAGAGGTCACCTTCGCGTACTGGGCCCTTTACGTTCCTGATAATTTGGCGATTTTGCTCGCCTAAGAACTCCACTTTTACTTGCGTACACTGTCCTTGTGAACCCGTGCGACCCAAGACCTTGATTACTCGTGCCAAAACCACAGGTTTATCCATAACTGCTTTCACGTAGTGAATATTATGGAAGACAATCTTCAATCTCCAATAAATGATCACGTACGCTCGAGCTATGTCGAGAAACGTGTAACTAATAAAACTATCCTAGATGCTGCAAAGGATTAATAATATATATCAAAAGCTATAGTAATAATAATTTCTAATATTTAGAAAATTTGATAATAAATAAGTACTAAACAGGGGATACAAACACTGTATCCTCTGTTTAATATTAACAGAAAATTAAATACAATAAATTTTAAATTAGATAAAAATTACCTTCTTCCCTCTTAATGAATGCTTACACGTGCAGACACGTTGTTCCTGTGGATAAAAGATACAACAGAACATAGCAGATCTATCTGTTTTCTGGCTTGGAAATAAATCCATACGCCACCTGGTGATAACAGAATAGGGAGCCTATTAAGGCCGTTCTACATTAGGGAAATGCAGGATTCGTCCGATGTCCGACGTACAACGTCCGATATTCAATAAAAGAATAGCTTTCCAATGGAGAATTGAATTCTATATTAGAAAGCTGTTCTCCTATTGGATATCGGACGTCGTACGTTGGACATTGGATACGGTGTGAATTCTGCACAAGGGACGCCGCACACGAATTGACATAATAGTAATGGTTCCTGCACATAGGACGCGGTAATGCTTGCTGCGCGGCGGAAGATCGCGCGACAGCCAATCAATATGTTATTTTTCCGTAAGAGCTAGAAGGTTATTATGAAAAGCAGCATATTGATTGGCTGTCGCGCGAACTTTTGCCGCGCAGCAAGCATTACCGCGTCCTGTGTGCAGGAGCCATAAGAATTGACCAATCACTTTGGCTGCATTCTTTTATGGCTCTTGCACAGGATGCGGTAATACTGGGTGTATATCAGTTGGACACGGGGCAATTGGACACAGTCCAATCACAAGTCGCTGTTCCAAGGGATCCTACAAATGTCTCTAATCACACGGTGCTGTGATTGGCTGTGTCCAAATCACCGTGTCCAAGTGCACCGCTCCCGTAATACTTGCCGCGCGGTGGAAGTCCGCACGACAGCCAATCAATATTTAGTCTTTTCGTAAGAACTAGAAGGTTATTACGGAAAGCAGCATATTGATTGGCTGTCGTGCGAATTTCCATCGCGCGGTAAGAATTACCGCGTCCTGTGTGTAGGAGCCATTATTCGCAATAGATGTAGCTGATGTCATCTTATCCTTCGATTTTACCGAATGTTAAACAAGGATAGAACGATATCGGCTGCATCTGTTGCGAATAAAAGAACACAGCCTTGGAGTATCGTCGAACCGTAAGGTGGCCATTTTTGTGAATACTCGATTGTAATTGGTCTATATTTACGGTACGTCTTTTGTTATTGTTATGTCAATTCGTATGCGGCGCCCCTAAGCAGACAAAATCCATAAAAAAGAGGGAACAGCGTTGGCAACGTTCAAAAATTCCTAGGATCCATAAATTCATTTCTCAAGGTTAATATCATTGGGTGTTTTCCAGTTGCGTACACAAAACCAGTTTGGTTACATATATCTTACAATATATTTTAGATAATATGTAACCAATAAACTAGTTTTGTGTACGTGTGTGTCAAGATGTGTTAAGCAATTGGAAAGCACCTATTGTCGGATGGGAGAGTGTACAGAGGTGTAGAGTTGTAACAGGTTATATGTCACGGTGTCAAAACTAAACATCACGGGGGTGAGTGACAAGTTATGGAGACAGAGGTTAATACCAAATTTTGAATCGGTAGTTTCTCGTGCTATTTTGTGGAAGAAGAAGAAGAAGAAGAAGAAGAAGAAGATTAATACCAAATGTTAAAAACCGTAAATTTCAGATATTTTTTTATATAATACGACCTATAGTAAAAGTAGTCGCACTGTTTATTTTTACGCTCATGAACTCGATGCAAACGTTATCTGAAATTTACGGCTTTTGACATTTGGTATTAACTTTCTTATTCTTCTTCCACAAAATAGCACGAGAAATTGTCAATTCATAAAATTTGATGTTAACCTCTGTCTCCATAACTTGTCATTCACTCCCGTGATGTTTACTTTTGACACCGTGAGCGTTTACGACAATTATGGCTCCTGCACACAGGACGCGGTAATGCTTGCCGCGCGGCGGAAGTTCGCGCAACAGCCAATATGCTGCTTTCCGTAATAACTTTCTAGCTCTTACGGAAAAACAACATATTGGGTGCGTTCAGAAGTCACAACTGTTGCACAACGGTTGAGTAATTAGTCAACGCAATTGGTCTAAAGTTAGGGATCTAACAGTAAGGACCAATAATCACTGACCGCTCACTGATCAGCTATGTTTTCTGAACGTAGCCATTGATCCAACATAACGTATCCAAAAAGTTTGTCGTACGACACGTGAAATATTAGCCTAAGGCCCATTCTACAATTGCGTGAACGTGGTTGTAAGTGGTTGTAAGTGATTACGACACCTATCAAAGTAAAGCAATCAGTGAATAAAACATTCGGATTGGTTGAATTGTAGAATGGGCTTAAAGCCCATTCTACACTGCGTAAGCGTAGTCGTGAACGTAAGAGTCAACCAATCCGAATGTTTTATTTACTGATTGCTTTATTCTGATTGGTTGTCGTAATCATATACAACCACTTACAACTACGCTTACGCAATTGTAGAATGGGCTTAATGCAGGATTCATACAGCGTCCGATGTCCGACGTACGGCGTCCAATATCCAGTAGGAGAACAGCTTTCTAATAGAAAATTCAATTCTGCATTGGAAAGCTATTCTTTTATTGGATATCGGATGTCGTACGTCGGACATCGGACGCGGTGTGAATTCTGCATAAGGCTGATATTTCACGTGTCGTACGACAAGCTTCTTCGATACGTTCATTGGTTGACGAACAAAGAACTTAGAAATATTCTATTCGCCAACCAATAAATGTATCCGAAAAGCTTGTCGTACGACACGTGAAATAGCACCCTTACTCAATGCCTTACTATAGAAACAAGCTGGAGTAAGAAGTAAAGAACGTGCATTCGACATCAGATAATAATTTCGTAAAATCTCACGATTATATCCATATTTTTTTAGCGTGTGGTAACATTGTTTGTATTTTATTATTTTTTATTGTATGCATTTGTAGATTTTGACTGTATGTATATATTTTGACTGAATTTCGCAAAAATCTACAAATATCTACATACAATAAAAAATAAAATACAATAAAATACAATAAAATACAAACAATGTTACTACACGCTAAAAAAAATATAGATATAATATAGATAGATCGTGAGATTTGACGAAATTATTACCTGATGTCAAATACGCGTTCTTTACTTTTTACTCCAGCTTGTTCCTATGGTAAGACACTGGGTGTTTACATTAAATCGAGTACGAGTTAGTTCCACTAGCGTCGAAAAATATAATAGGCACAACCAACTAGTATCTTCATGGTTCAATACTGCTTTCCGATGCTCGAGTAGAGTTAGTTAAAGGGACGTCTACATTGGAAGTAAATAGCAAGAAGTAGGAAGTAAGAATAAGAAATTGACCAATCATAGTTGATTATTCTTCTCACATTCGAGTGTGGTTGATCAATTTCTTACTCTTACTTCCTACTTCTTACTACTTACTTGCAATGTAGACGTCCCTTAAGGGACGTCTACATTGCAAGTAAGTAGTAAGAAGTAGGAAGTAAGAGTAAGAAATTGATCAACCACACTCGAATGTGAGAAGAATAATCAACTATAATTGGTCAATTTCTTATTCTTACTTTCTACTTCTTACTGCTTACTTTCAATGTAGACGTCCCTTTAGAGTTAGCTAGAGTAGCGTAGCGGATAACGTAAGCATTAGGTAGTTGATTTTCAAAAAATGTTAGTTATTAATAAGTTATTAAACTTAGTCCTT